GGGGCGCTGTAGAGCAGTTTGGCCACGCCCACTTTTGGTTCCATTATCATACTACTATTTCTCGCGGGGGACAATTTTGGGTCAAATATGGTGAGTTTTCGAATATGTTAAGGCCTCAAAATTAGCGCTCTTTGACGGAAAAAAATTTGAAACGACACAATAACAATAGGCCTTCGCAGCGCGGCCTTCGCAGCGCTTAGCTGCTCGGGCCTAAAATAGGCCTTCGCAGCGCTTAGCTGCTCGGGCCTAACTAGCCAATCAGCGTTTGCCCCCTGGAAACATCTATTCTCCAGAAACGCCCACTTTTGGTCTGCAGAGAACCCCTTCTCTCCAAGGGTGGAAAATATAACAAAAGATATAGCGTTTTTTGAAGTAATGATGAGCTTTTACATATAACAAAAAGCAATTTTTAAGTTAATAGAAAAATTACAACATATTTAGGCCAACGTGGATCCATAAAGTTCATGTCATGAATACGAACGCATTACTATTAAGATAACATAAATAACAGATCATTTAAAGAAAGCTCATGTCGCATGAACAGTGGTTGAGATACCTGGTCACAAATGTCACTACAAAGGCCAGGCTTGAGATGCAGCAGAGCTTAATTGCGCATGCGCAATAAACGGAAGCGGCGAGAAAGAGGAATTATGATTAAGCAGACAGTAACAAGGGAGAAATTTAATTTCACGTTACCTCTAAACATACATGGCAATATTAAAAGTTGCACCAATATCTTAAAAAGTAATTTCGCGAGGAGAAAGTATCACCTGCTGAGCCTGGATCCGTTTCGCAAAGGCTTGTGACAAGTTGTCTGGCGAGCGTTCATTATTAGATGCACTAAACAGCACGGGTACAGCATCTGCTTTCAAAGACGTTCTCCGTCTGTAGGTTATCCCCATCTCTGACATCATTTCTCTTGCGAATTCAGAGGTTTGTTGTTCGAAGCACTCCGCAGGAAAGTGCTCGGAGCACAAAACGCTGTGCTTCGTGGGTCCAGCCCATCCGTCTCTCGTGAGCTTTACGGCACTGGTCCAGGCGCTTCTCATCTCCTCATCCACAGGAAAGTAGTGCAAACTCACATGTGCTGACGCAGTGTTACTGCAACCACCAGCAACACACCGTTTCACCATCTTAACAAGGATTTTTTTACAACAACTTCACCACTCGCTCGTTAGTTTCGCGTTTCCGCTCGCAGATCAAGGAATTCCCCTTTTTGTCGTCACTTCCGGCTTCTCTTTGACAAGCCGTGTTCAAAACAAAATGACATTTTTTTATTACGTTTTTGTATCCTAAAATTATATATATTAGTCCAAATTGCTTAATTATTGCGGTGTTTTCTTCTAACTTATGCATTTGTAGGCAATGTACGTCACAGACACTTTTAATTTAAAAGAAACCAGAACTTTAAAGAAATTTAAATATAAACAATGCAAAACTCAGGTCCTTTTTCAGTAATATTTAAAGTAGCTGTGTCTCGGTAGTGTCTAAAACTTTTCCATAACTCGCCTGGTGCAGCTCGGATTCCCGGAGTCCGCTTTGGGACAGCACCGTTCACCTGAGTCATCTCTGAGCCTCCGGTTGTTGACCCCGAAGACAAACAAACTCCACTCGGTTCTCCACCGGGTCCTCCGGCAGGACGAACCGCCGCGGCTCAAAGTTTCACAGCCGACAACGGAGCACATTTCTGGTTTAAAATCAGTTACTCCTGCACTTTAAGCCTACCGCAGCACGGCTACACAAACTGTTAAGCTAGTACAGAGCTCACAGCTAGCCCTTGTTGCTATGGCGACGCCGGAAAAGGCGGGGCATCATGCCAGGGTTGGCGCGGTTTGCTTACCGGTGTACACCGGTGTAACCTCTGTGTATTTCCCAAAGCTAGGGCCCCCACCTGGAGAAGTTAAACAAGTGTGACCTAAAACGTACAGACATCAAGTTAATTTTCTAGAATTCTAGTTCTAGAATTCTAGAATTCTAGTTCTAGAATTGCGCCGCTCAAGGTGGCTGCATGTTGGAGCAGCTCTGTTACTTTCATTTTGATAATTTGCTTTTGGAAACTTTAATTCCTCTTTTTCTGGATGTAAATCACTTTTTTTTTTTTTTGGATGATTGTTTCCTCTGGTATCGGATGCTGTGCAGCTGGAAGGATTTTTACTGAAACTTTTTTAGTTTTGGACATTTGTTATGATGCGTAACCATGGCAACAAGGCAGTTTTCTACAACCAACAGCAGCTGATTAACATCTCAAAAGCTCAAATAATATCTCAACTACAGCCCCAAATCTCAAGTGAGTTGAAAAGGATGTTCTGTGGATGGATTCTCATCTACCTGCCAGCTGTGCTCGAGTGCCTGACCACTGAGATCCTGGAACTAGCAGGAAACATGGGTCATGACAGCAGAAGGACAGGATCGTCTTTCAGCACCTACAGCTGGCTGTCCGCAGCTACGAGGAGCTCGGCAGACTGCTGGGAGCAGCGGCCATCGCTCTGGGAGGAGTTCTGCCCAGCATTTGGACGGTCCTACAGCCCTAGGGGAACCGAGAGGCCAGCCGAGTCTGGGTGGATGGATCGGCCGGCATCTGCAGCCAGTTTCTTAGGATCCACTGTGGGATGGACCTTTACAAGAGATCCTTCCTGTCTACAGCCATCAGCATCTGTAACATCTCTTAATGAAATGAGGATAACGAGTTACAACAACAAATAATTTCCCTCTGGGATTAATAAAGTATTTTTGATTTGATTTGATTTAAAACTAATGGCAAAAAGAATATTTTTATATGAAACGAGATGTGAAAGAACACTGAATTGAAATTGATATTAAACTTCTGCATCTCTTGAAGTTTCATAACCCTCTCCGTTATTTCAACTGACATCTGGCGTTGGAGCCATGATTCGTAACGATCTGCTGTGTCCAACAGCTCTCCAAAGTGTGAGCACTTTTTTTACAAACTACAGATTAGCCGATTTTAAATGGATGCAGGTGTTATTTAGAACTGCAAGTAACGTTTCTTCAAATTTGAATGATTTCTTTGACTTGGTGTTTGATTGTAATGTGACGCACCATTCTTCTCTCATTTGTGAATTAAACCCAGCGGTACTTGAACTCCCTTCACTTGAAGCATCACTTCATTCCCAACCCAGAGAGAGCAATCGACTCTTCTACCATGGAGGACCATGGCCTCAGATTTGGAGGTGCTGATTCTCACCCCAGCTGCTTCTCTGCTGCGAACTTCTCTAGTTAGAGCAGATCACGACAGATGACACCAATTATCATCTGCAAATAGTGTTGGGAGTCCTGAGGCAGCCAAATTGGACTCCTTCTGCGTCCTGGCTGCACCGATAAATTCTGTCCATAAAAATTATGAACAGAATTATTGAAAATGGGCAGCCCTGGCAGAGTCTAACTCCCACACTTATGGGGTCTGACTTTCTGCGTGCAATGAGAACCAAACTCTCTCATTGCTTTTATAAGGACTGAAAGGCCCGTAGCAACAGGCCCTCCAATCCATACTCGCCAAGCACCACAGAGTACCTTGAGAAATAGGGTTACCATCTCCACGTCCACAAAACACATGTAGACTGGTTGGGCAAACTCCCATGCTTCCTCGAAGACCCTAGTCTCAGTATGAGTTTGTCCGGTGTTCCATGGTGGACGATAGGCCTGTCACAATAACAAATGTTGCTGGGCAATTGTCTCAGAAATTATTGCGATAAACGATAATATTGTTTGAAATTTGGCAATTAGTAATTATTGTCAAATTTAAGAGATGTTTAATTTGTTTTGCATGTAGTAACTTTTTTCAACCACCAGATGGCAGTATAAGCCTGTTCGAAGGACAGACAGTGAGGGAGCGAGCAGCGTCTCTTAAGAAAAACGGGAGGGAGGCCCCTTGACGTGACATGGGCTGTTCTCTCTTCAGTTCTCAAAATGGCAGACGCTCGGTGTGGTTTGAGCTCTTTAACAGCATTTTTCACACAAAGCTTTTAATAAAAAAAACAGTAAACACATTTTCAGCTTCTTTTTGCAGAGAAAAACGTTTTACACGAAGGCACGGGTTTCAACCGTAAATTTTGGAGCTCCGACAAGACGGAGGTTTTTTTCCCCCAAGGTCGGCCTGTTAGCTTAGCTCGTAGCTAGCTTCTCTGCTTAGCTGCTTTTATCAATCCAAAAACACCATTTTGGACGGTTAAAATGGATTTTAAAGAGAAAAGAGAAGGGTCAGTGAAGAGCACCGGAATCGAGCTTTATGTCATCCAGTGTCTTCAGTAGAGACACGAAATGATAAAGCTGATAAATGAAAATGAGGTTGATCATTTTCATTTATCATGCAATTAATTGATTTATTGTTTATCGCGACAGGCCTATTGGATGAAAACCATAATTTCCTCCAGAATCTGAGGTTCGACCACTGACCAGACCATCTTCTCCAGCACCCCTGAACAGACCTTAAGGAGTGATGCGCCTGTAACTGGAACGAACCCTCCGGTCCCCCTTTTTAGAACATATAAACCAAGACTGCTCAACATCCAGAGCTTTGAGAAACAGTGCAGATCTTGTCCACCCTGGAGCCCAGAACACAACTTATAGGGGTTCAAGCCAACGGATGCAAGGAGCACGAGGCTGCAAAGCAGCAGTGTTTCCATGCATCCAGCAGCTTCCAACCCTATGTTTTGTTTATTATTATTCTTTTTATCATCCATAAGGAGCTGTGATAGTTTGGTGGTCAGTGTTGTGGTCTTGCAATCCTGAGGTTGCAGGTTCAAGCCCAGGTGGTATCAGGAAATGCATCCTGCGTAAAACAAATCGCCAAACCTTTCATACAAATTCACTCGCTATGGCAACCCCTGAAGAGGGAGCTGCCGAAAGAAACTACCGGTAGTTTTTTTTTTTTTTTCCATTTTCCACCTATTTGATTCAATAGCTATTGTAATCGACTACTACAAAATTTGTTTTTGTTTCTGTATGCCAGAAGGTTAGAATTTTGAAAAATGAGTTTTGTGGCATGTCTGATTTTTATTTGTATACAAAATTATGGAAATGATTGAAAGAACATCGAGTGGTGCTTACACGTTTTTTCCTGGGGGTTGTACCAGTCACTGTACATAAAAATCAAAATGTTGGATTAACTTTTAACCTTAAAGTGGGCTTCAACCAACTCATTTAATCTGATGTTTTAACAGAGGCCAGATGTTTTCCAGCAGCTTTGTTCAGTCTCATCTGACCCCACTGTACAGCACACACATCCACTGATTGAAAACAAACTGCTTTCTTCACTTTACAAGAGAAAATATAAATGAAAAACAATCATTGACAACCTTTTAAGTTATTTTAAACAATTGTCAAGACAGTCCAGGCATACTTCCTGAATTTAGTTCATTTTATAAATCACTTCAAATTTTTCCGTGGTCTTCCTTTGCGCTTTCCTGACTTGTTTCTGCTGCAGACCTTCATGTCAGGTTTTGCTCCTCTTGTTTGTCTCTCCGTGTTCATGGTCCACATTTCCTCCTCTTCTGCAGAATCAAAGGATGCGTTACTGTCAGATGGTGTATTTTTACTGTCTTCATCAGTCATCTTTTGCCTTTTCACATGTGCTTTACTTCTAATGTTTGACCCATGGTACTTTGCATCGTCTTCCAGAACAATGTTTCTAGATCCAGAGTTTCGAGGCCTTCCTTTTGATCCACTTGTGCTCTTCTTTTTAATTTTGGGAAGACGCCGTTGGTCCATCTGCACATCATTTGCGTCCTGTTCTTCTTTTATACTGTCAAACCCAAAATCTTCACCCGTCTCGTCTCCATTAGCTCGAGCATCATCACTGTCGTGTTCCTGTTCGTTTGAGCGCTCGAGTTCAGGTCCAGAGCTAAACGTGTGGCAACGCTGGATGTGAAGCTTTAAACTCACGTTTTGAGTGAAGCATTTGTCGCAAAGCTGACACTTGTAAGGTTTCTCTCCTGTGTGCAGGCGCATGTGGGTCTTCAGATTTCCCTTCTGGTTGAAAGTGCGCTGGCAAACAAAGCAGGTGAACCGCTTTACTCCTGTATGCACCGTCATGTGTCTCCGGAGACTCGATAATGAGACAAACTCCATCTCACAGAGGTGGCATTTTACCTGCATTTGCATTTTGTGCTCTTCCAGGTGGATCCTGAGCTCCTTGTTTGTGGCAAACGTCCTCGAACAGTCAGGACATTTGTAAGAATTTCTTTCAGCTATGTGGATCTGCTCATGGGTGAATTTGTCTGCCTTTGCCTTAAATGAAACATGGCAGAATTTGCAGGAAAACTCGTAGTTTTCATTGTGGATTTCGTTGTGGTGATTCAGTGCCACTTTGCTAACAAATCGTTTCCCGCAAATATTGCAGGAATACGGCTTAACTTTGTGATTGCACATGTGAGGCGTTCGCCTGTCAAAAAACGTTCCGCAGTCCGTGCAGAGCCGATTGTACGGAGGAGCCGCTTCCAGGTAGTCGCTGTAACCAGCACGTTTGTCGACTTCTTCATTTCGTTTTGCGGGAAACAGTTCGACAGTGAAGGCGCCCGCAGCTGGTTTCCAGTCTTCATCAGAGTCCACGTCATCAGGATCACTGGATTCCTCCGGTTCATCTTCAGAGTCGCTCTCCTCATTCATTACAGCAGCCATCTCTGGAGCCTCTGAGACGCTGCTGGAAGTTTCATCTGCAGCTGCAGCCTGTGATACAAGAACAAGGAGGTTTGTCATTTCGGATTTTGTTTAAGAGAATCGCAGCTTTACAGAAATAATTCGGACGTTTCTTGCAACGAAATGCAAAAATTCTGTGTAATGACACTTCCTAAACATTATTTCCACATTAAGTCAGCAAAAAATACCAATCCATACGATTTATTCTGATTTTTGAATATGGATGTCCTACCTTTGAGCTTCCTGTCCTGTGTCTATCTTCAGCTGCTGGGACGTTACCATCTACCAGGCTTTTCCACTCATACGTGTAGTCACACTGAAGGCACAGCTGGTGCAAGAAGATGACAACGCCACGACTGGCTTTGTGCATCTTCAGTTTACCTCCACACGATGGACACATGCGGCTGAACAACCGGACCAGGCGTTTCTCATTCACGGGAAATTTTCCTTTTGTCTTCAGAAGAGCCACTCTACAAAAAAGGTCAACTTTTCATTCAGCTTAAATGTTGCTTTTAACGAATCCTCAATAAACAGGTTGGACACTTACTTTTTCTTGATCAAATCTATATCTACTGGTTTTGCTTTGGGCTGGAAACAAACTGAAGAATCAGAGGAACATGAAGCTCTTGCTGACACCGGACCATTGTGAGAACCTGCAAATTCAATTAGATGCGAGTATGCGTCAGGGAACATCAATACGCTTCATTTTCCAAGAACATATTGTATTTGTACCCAGCAAAGTCTGCATTGATTCTTCCGAACAGGAAGTTGCACCAATCCGTATTTTGGCTTGATCACTCAGACGAACAACTTCTGCGTTACCCACAGAATTCTGCAAAAAGAAGCAACAAAATTTTAATTAATTTTAAAAAGTACATATTGGCCATTTCTCTTGTCTCCAAGTAACTCTAATATAAACCTCTTGTTGACATCTCACTCTTACAATGCATGTAAACTATCTGATGTAAGAAAGAAATAGTAACAGTATTATAAAAACCTAACAAGGTTACGTCAGGTCAAACGTTTCGTCTTTTATCCAAATGACTTCTTCAGTCTGAAACCCTGCAAGAAAACAGTCTTATAAATAGCTCCTCGTCATAGGGGACCAACCAGTTTGCTGCTGACAACCAGAACTACGGTATTTGTTCACGTGCAAAAAACGAGAACCATCAGCCTCACAGTAGATCGTTAGAGCCCCCAAGACAAAACCTACTGTTGGGGCTCTAACGATCTACTGTGAGGCTGATGGTCCTCCTTTTGCATGTGAACAGCTTTTTCTGGCCATCAGCAGCAAACTGGTTGGTCCACAATGACGTTGTTGGGGCTTTAACGATCTATTGTTAGCTGATGGTCCTCCTTTTGCATGTGAACAACTAGTTCTGGTTGGTTCACTATGACAAGGAGCTATTTATAACATGTTTTCTTGCAGGTTTTCTTGTTTTTGTCTTGGAACTTTTTTTTTTTTTTTTTTTTAATCTTGCAGGGTTTCAAACAAGAAGTCTTTAGGATAAAAGATGCAACGTTTCAACAAAGAAAAATCTGTCCAGATGACCTGACTTAACCTTATTAGATTTTTCTACCTGGATTATTGAGCATGCATCAGGGCGGTATTATAAAAAGTCACGTTGAGTGAATTGTCCATGAATCTGCAGACATTACTGGGTCATGGCAATGGCCTAGACAAAACTTCAGCCTTAGTTCCACCCCCAACACTGAGGAAGTTTTAATGATGTTGCTGTTCAAGCAACAACAACAAAAAAGGAAAAGCTTTTGCAGTTAAGACTCCCTGGATGATGAGATAATAGTATTCATTCAGCTAGTATCACAAATTTTTATGGGATTTACACGTAGTACTTGCACATCTCCACACAAATTTATGGACTTTACATTAAAAATGTTTGAGACAAAACTTCAGCATCAGCTTGCACTTATATGCATGAATATGAGGCGTCTCTAAAATGACCATAATACCACAATTATCATCTGAAATGGCCAGTTTACATGTATTTATCCTTGTGGAAATGTCTGCTTAGAATTTATTCACTCCATTCTTCTCCCACCAGTGACCATACTATACTATATTCATTCATTTTCATATTTCATATTCCACCCAAAAACCAGAGTCCTACAAATGCAAATAGTGAAAGTAATTTTGAGCTGTAGGAAGTGTAACTACAGTATGGCTGCCTAAACCTTTAAAGGTCTTTGTTTTAAACTGGTAAACCCTCACCTCACAAATGGAGCTCATCACAGGAGCGTCTGGTCCACAACTCAAACACACCGATGGGACAGAACCGGGCTTCAGCTGGACCGGGTCAGCCTCATGAACAAAGCAGTCTTCAGTGAAGTGTTCACTGCAAACACTGATCTCGGTCCAGCAGGATTCTTTAAAACGCTGCTTGTTAGCTTTAGCTAAAAACACGACCCACTCCAGTCTCTCCTCTGGGTCTTCGGGTAGCTTGAAGCGTTCCGCGGTTCTTCGTCCTGAATAACACCCGAAAACGGAACACATCCTGGTTCAGGTTTGGGTCCTTTGAGTCCTGATAAAGGTTTATTTAAACAAGAACCGCGCATGCATTTTATACAAATGCAGCACTGAGCTAACCTAGCTGTTTAAATATTCGTGTTAAAGGCAGGAAGGCCGTGATTTACCGCACGGTTTCGAGTCTACAACCCCGTAAAAGTAAACGAGTGGAAAAGTACATGCAACTTATATGTAGGGTCGAACATGTGTCTTTGTTATCTGGACTACACTGGTGTTGTATCGCGTTGTGTTCCGCCTACCAGAAGCTTGCGTTGCTTTCTTCTTCTTCGGTTTTGTTTGGCGGTCGGTAGACGATATTTTGGAGCGATACCGCCATCTGCTGGTTAAGAGCGTCAACTAGAATTGCGCTCAAATTAAGATTCCATCCATACGAATTAATAACAATTAAATTTAAATAAACAAAAAAATAATTAAATAGAACTCGTATTCTTTCAAACAAACGAGTCTGTGTCACACATCTTAAATGTTGGTACTTGCATAGTCTGAGCTTTCCTGTGTAACAGTTCAAATCTTACTTTTTTATGTTATTGAGACTGCTAATCATTTGAGTTCTTTCATGTCTGTATTTCTGGTCGTTCAGTAACACATGCTCTATGGTCACATCTTCTCCACAGTACGTAGTCACATTTACATTCTTCTCTGCTATGTCTTCGTTTCTCTTACATGCTTGCTTTTAGTCTTAAACCTCTTAAACCTCGTAAACCTCGATCTCTCGCAGAGATCGGATGCTTCTCCTCTCCCTCTCTGCTTTGCGCTCTGTCTGTGAAACTGCTTCTGAGCCTCTCTTGCATTTCTTCCGAACCATAATTATGGACTTGTTTTGATCAAGTTGGTCCCTCAACTCAATTTACAACATTTCTTCAAAGAGAAGACAGGCTTTAGGCGAGCCGATTTGCCCTGTTGGCACGCAAACAGCTGGATATCTCATCGACTGGAAGACTTGATGATGTGTCTATCTCTGCTGCCATCTGTGGATTTTAAGGACACATATTTAATTGGATTTACGATAACTGTTTCCTGCTTTTTGGATTCAGCTGGTGGCTGGTTTTATCTACAATCAAGGAAGTCGTCGACAGTAAATTTGGACCCGATCATGCTGCTTGCCTTTATGATGGCTTGGTTCGTGTCTCGAGTACCTGGAATCAAATTATTTGGGCTGAATGGATCAGATCTTGGGGATTTTACTCAGTCATGTTCCATCGGTGTGGCCATGTATTTTGGACATTTCGGAACCGAGTGGACCAACACAGACTCAAGGTAGATGTCATTAAGTCCTGCCTGTCCCCAAAACAACTTTGTGTTCATCTGAAGTTGGCTCCCTTGGCTGGACTTGAAGGCCATCTTATCTGAATTCGCCTGGAGAACGTGATCCGACGCTCACCACCCCCTGAGGAATTTCCAACTGATAACCAGATGGAACCAGCTGAATAAACTTTGTGTCATTATTTCAGGACTCTTGGATTCTCATAGACGTTATTCTTGGCCATTCCTCGACATACCTCGAGAATGTTTATGGATCTCACCGGAGGACATTGACCGATTTTCCATCCTTATCAGAACTCTTGCAGTGACCTCGAGAGCATCTATGAACATTGCTGACCACTCTCGTCTCCTCCGTCTGCAGATTGTCTACGTAAATACGTGCTTGTTTGTGCGAGGTGTTTTTTTTAATATTAGAGGGGTTTTTTCCTCAGGCAGGAAAAAAAAAAGTCTGATAGAAATTTTTTCGCCTCTAACTCCTACGTGTCCAGTTAATCGCTGTTTTTGTCTGTTCAAACAGGTCTCACTTGTAAATGAGTCTTCGAGGCTCAATGTGATTTATCTGTTTAAATAAAGGTTGAATGAATGAAAAAAAAAAAACATGTTCCTGTTCCCCCCCACCCCACCTATGTTGCATTGTTCCTTGTACCTGTACGAGATATTGTATATTGTTTGTTGAACGATAAATAATAATATAAAAATAATAAAAAATAAACTTTCTTTTTGGAGGTTGTCATTCATCTTAAAGGTGCATTAGCGCCACCTACAGGTCTGGAGTGTTTATAGTAAATTGACAGGAAAGCCAGGGCGCACAATCTTCCATGGATTGTTCTCTTTGGGCACTTAATAAGTAAACTCAAGATGGTTTGAGATTATTCTTCTAAGTAATTTATTTCATTCTTTTTAACTTCTTCAAATGCATCAATTCCCATTCAGGACCTGTTTCCTCATCTAGTTTTACTGGATTTCCAGCCCTCGTGCAACATACACATTTTAGCATAGAAGAATAAAAATCTCAAGATATGTATGTCATGAGATAACAAGTCAGTTGTAAGTATTTGACAAATGTGTGAGCGTGTTTTCCTGCTTGGGGGGGGGGGGGCAGTCTCTAATGCTGGTGTTCAGTCATCAGGATGCATTTCTCGCTACAAGGACAGTCTGAAGATCAAAATATTTTCTATTATTTTGCTGAAAGCAGACATTAAATATAGAAATTGCGCACAGCTTGGAACACAACTTAACATAACACCAATCTATTTCACAATTAATATTTAAACCTGACAAGTAAAAACTGAAGCAATTAACATAAGCGGTAAAATGTTGATACTGTTGTAATACAGTAATTGTTTGAACCAAAGCTGACGTTTTATGCTTTAACACAAAATTTGTAGCATTCTACGTATATTTTCTTTTCTTTATTTATATTTCTCACAAGACAGCATACCTCCAGGTTCATGCTCAATAATACAGGTTAAAAAAAAAAAAATCAACAATGTTCAGTCAGGTCATCTGGACAGTTTTGTTGAGAGACGTTTCACCCTTCATCCGAAGGACTTCATCAATCTGCGGAATGACAAACAAACCGTTTCCCCACTAAGTAGTACACTCTTATAGTGGACCAACCAGTATGATGGTGACAAGACTCCTCTGAGGCAGCCAAAGTGGTTCAAGATGTACATATGTACCAGTGTTTCAAGTAGAGAACACAAGATTAACTTAGCATGTTAGCTTCAATAATCATATTACATAAGCGTTACTCAAAATGAAATTGTAAATTTGTATCAGCAGGGATACCAAGTATTTAGCACCAAATCTGTTTATCACACTCAATCTGATGCCATAATAAAGTTCACACATTAGTGAATGGACACTCTTAAGTCAAAGTATTCATTTCTCTCCACATTAATGAGCAATTCTTGCTGATGTTTAAAGTTTTTATTGATATATAAATATTTCTATAAAACCAATACGATATTATTAGTTTCACATAGTGTTTTTTTTTCCTAATGAAACTATTGTAAAGTTGTCTTCAGTTTATTTCTTCCCGTTTTTACTACAGTTCCTTTTTTAGATCTCACGGTATTCTTCATGGTCTTCCTGCAGCCTTCTTCAGAATCAAATGTGTTGCTGTCAGACAGCCTGTCCTCATCACTCAGTTGTTTTTGACTCCTAACTTGTGGTTTTCTAGCCCCTGTGTTTGACCCTTCTGCTTGATTGTCCACAGGACATTTTCCTGATCCAAACACTTTAGGCCTTCCTATCGGTCTACCGGTGCTCCTTTTAGTTTTACATCTGTGCTGTCCCTCCATCTCATCATCTGTATCCTGTTCCTCAACTTCACTGTCAAGGTCCAGGTCTGCTGCACCAATCTGGTGCCCATTAATCTGAGCACTATTAGCCTCACTTTCCTTTTTGCTTTTTGTCTCTTTGTCCTGATCTGGTCCAGAGCTGGGTGTGTGGTAACGCTTAACATGACTCTTCAAGCTGACGTTGTGATTGAAGCTCTTGCCACAGCGCTGACACTCGTAAGGCCGCTCCCCTGTGTGCAGCCGCATGTGGGACTTTAGATGACTCGCCTGGTTGAAGCCGCGTTGGCACACCGAACACTTGTATGGTTTTACGCCCGTGTGCACTAATAAATGTCTCTGAATGGAGAGAGGACGGTAAAATTCGATCCCACAGAAGCGGCATTTTAACTCCACCGTGCCTCTGTGCTCTTCCAAATGAACTCGACGTTCATCATTTGTAGCAAATGTCTTTGAACAGTCCGGACATTTGTACGGTTTCCCTTCGGCTCCATGGATCTGCTCGTGGGTGAATTTGTCTGCCTTTAACTTGAACGGAACGTGACAGAACTTGCAGCGAAACTCGTAGTTTTCGTTGTGGACTCGGCTGTGAAAACTCAACGCCACTTCACTCACGCACCGTTTCCCACAAATGTTGCAGGAGTACGGCTTCACTTTGTGCTCGCAAACGTGAGGCTTTCGTCCGTCAACAAACCTTCCACAGTCTGTGCAGAGCTGACTGTATACTGGGGTGAGTGAAAGGTAGTCGCAGTATTCAACATGCTCGCTGGATTCCCTCTGTGTTGCAGGGTACAGTTTGATAGGGAAAACATCCTTCTCTGGTTTCCACTCTTCATGTGAATCCACGTCCCTAAGATCACTGGATTTCTCTTTGGGGTCACTCTCATGCGTTACTGCAACGATTTCAGGAACCTCTGAGGTGCTGCTGGGGGTTTCATTATCTATTGCTGTCTGTAATATGAGTTACAAGAACAAGTGAAAGGTACAGTCCAGCTTAAAAACCTCTCAAAAACTGAAATAAAACATGTTTTATGTTTAAGTCTTGTAATCTTACATTTAAGCCTGCTTTCAAGTGTCCATCTTCAGCTGCTGGGACGCTGTCGTCCACCTGACTTTTCCATCCGTACGTGTAGTCGCACTGAAGGCACAGCTGGTTATAGCTAACAACAACGCCACAAATGACTTTGTGCATCTTGAGTTTACCTCCACATGATGGACAACTGTGGCCGAACAACTGGAGAAGGTGCTCTTTCTTTGCAGGAAACTTTCCTCTGTTCTTTAAAAGTTCAGATCTTAAAGAGAAAAAAAAAAGGTTAAATTGACAAACTGATTGTAAAATGTAGCCAAAATAAATAAATAAATAAAAGACATTTAGACAGAACTTTAAAAGGAAACTTACTTTTTCTTAATCAAGTCAGTATTTACATTTTCTGAACATGAAGCTCCTGTTGGAACTGGATCATTACTAGAACCTGCACATTAGAAAAACGTTTGTTAACACACGCGAGTCACATCATTGCCATTAACTCTTAGACGCACGCTTCACTTGTACCTAACGGTTTCAGGCTTGGTCCTTTGAAATACCGAGTTGAATCAGGACGAGTACGGCGCAGATCTTTTAGCTCAGAACCTTCGGGATTTTCCACAAGCTCCTACACAAAAATGTAATTCTAAGGTTTGGTTAGCAGAAAACAAAAATATGGCAACTGTGTTCAGCTGAAACTACCATTAAGTTTTACTGAAATACACAAAAGCATTGGAACTGACTTACAAATCACTAAGCAAGAACAATGTACAATTGTGCTGGCAACAAGTTTTCTTTACTTTGTAAAAAAAATACTCTACTTAGCTTCGTGATTGACACAATAAACACAAAGAATTGCTGCATCCATGACTTATGATAAGGCTGTGTCTAAAAATGGATCATTCATATAGATCTGTAGCCAAACTGCACACAAGACAAACATAAATGGTATGTAACAATAAAACTGAAATTTTTTTCCAACTATTTTCTGTGTGCTACTCTGAGCTCATTTTACTCAGTGTGATGAGCTGTCAGGCTAGATAATTTAGTCCTATAGCAGTTGTTGTGTGTAATGTGTGCCTGTACAACCTTATAATGCCACAAAGAAGGAGAGGAGTGTTCTGTAAAGATAGATGAGTGCTGTGGGACTGACACATTTCAGTCTTTTCTAGTAAAAGGGTTATTGAGTTGAATGCCCTGGAAGTGTGTTATTTGTAGCCACATGAAGAGATGTTTAAATTATGTGAAATGCCTAGGAAAACAATGTTTACATATTCTATTCAGGGTCTGAACCCTCACCTCAGGGTCGTCTGGTCCACAACTCAAATACACCGATGGGACAGAACCTGGTTTCAGCTGGACCGGGTCAGCCTCATGAACAAAACAGTCTTGAATGAAGTGTTCACTGCAAACACTGATCTCGGTCCAGCAGGATTCTTTAAAACGCTGCTTGTTAGCTTTAGCTAAAAACACGACCCACTCCAGTCTCTCCTCTGGGTCTTCAGGCAGCTTGAATCGTTCCGCGGTTCTTCGTCCTGAATAACACCCCAGGACGGAACACATCCTGGTTTAAGTTTGGTCCTTTTCACGTCCATTCAAAGAACAAATGTCTTTATATTTCTCATTAGCAGCACGCTAGTTAGCTAGCCAGATGTTTTGTGTGTTGTTTCGTGGAGGCTGGATGGGCGGAGTTTAACGAGCGGGTTCGAATGGTTTGTTGTCCGGCGTACACCGGAAGGCGCGCGGTCATTATTAATAAGAGTTATTATTAAAATTATTATTACTATTTTTGCTGTTGTAGCCGAAGGTTATCGACGCGATTATACTGGACAAATCGTAACAGCACATCACGTTTATTTTACTTGCCCAGTTTGAAGTGCACCGTTAACAGCAACCACGGAAGTCAAAGAACGGAAATCAAAGAACTTCTCTTCCGTCCTTCACAATAAGAGTGTCTAATTAAAACTCAGTCCAATGCTTCATAATAAAAGTCAAACAGTAGACACTGCTGATCCAAGAATTCCTCTCAAAATATCAGCTTATAAAATAGTTTAAATTATTGTCATCTGGACTTCTGAGGCTAGGCCTCAGACTGACGAAGCCTCTTGGATGAGGGGCGAAACGTTTCTTTTTAACAAAAAAACGAAGTCCAGATGACATGATTCAACCTTTTTTGTTGTTATATACCTGGATGACTGAGAAAACAAACTTTGAATTTAAATTATTATTCATATTATAAATTCCTAAAATATAAAATAAAACACAAATGAATGATCAGCACATTAATATGCCTATTAACAACAAAAAATGTGACAAAGTTAATCATTGGCTTCTCTTTGTGTTCATTTTGTGCTTTGATAATATCAGAACCTGAGCCACTTCAACTGTTGATGGTGGTGACTAATCAGTACTTGTTCTTTTTAGAATATTTTATATTGCAGTGACCCACAAAATTATTCCCATATTATTCCGTGATGACAGAAGTAAATCTAGCCTAATATCGAACAGTATTGGAGGAAAAATAAAAAACTTCTAAAACCATAAAAACACCTATGCCACATTTATTGAATGGTTTTTGTTTTGTTTTGCATTTTGACAAAACCATGAGAGTATTATTTGCATTATAGCTCCAGAATACTTTATCATTATGAAGTTTTTAAAGGGATTGTGTCATAGCATGTATAAAAAAAACTATGTAAAGCGCAAAAAGGTGCTACTGTATAGTCAAATTTATTAATACTGTATACCACTAGGTGATGTTGTTTAGCTTTTAAAGCTGTGGACTTTAAGATTTAGTATGACCAGTTTAATACTGCTGAGGCCTGAAGCGGAATGACGGATTCTTTAAAAGAAAACAAGCACATTTCTGTATAGATAAAACTTGTTTTTTTAAGTCTGAGTTCTATTCAATTATCAGAACACACTGAGACGTTTTAACAAAAGATGACAAATGTAACATAAACCTAATAAATCAGGCTTAAGTGACTTGTTTTGTATTTGTGACATATATTTTACCTCATTCACACAAAGAATCACTCCCATTAGAGGTGCAGCAGCCATATCATGACGTCATACATGCCATATGACCGTGTTCCTGTGAGGAACGTGTGGGAATTTGTGCAGCAGTTGGACGACCTCCATCTCCCCAATTCAGAGAACTCATTTTCCAGGAAGCGGAGCGCACACTGTAGCAGCAGAACATGCTTTAGGGGTTCTGTAAGTGTAAATAATCCCCGCTGAAACCTGATGTTAACCATTACATTTGTTGCTGTATGAACAAGAACATCAACAGTTCTGAAAGGCATGATGAGAAGGGGCTTGTGCAAGAGCAGAAAAAGCTGCATTGTTCATTTAGTCCAGTTTCTGATTAATCCCAAAAAATGCTGTGAGGTTAACACATGTGTTGAGGGTCTATGTTGAATGGGTGTGCAGGCCTGGAAAATGTGTACACCATTTGTTTACGTGTTAGACTTTATTTTCCTTTCTCAAAGACAGACAAACCCCCAACACACACACACACACACACACACACACACACACACACACACACAGTGTAAGATCATTTTAACAACACATCAGTTAGGTTTATAGTGATTTCAGCTTGATAAGGCATTCCAGCATGACTGAGCAAGATAAATCAGGGAAAACTTGCCAAAAATGTGTAGAAATATCAAATTTATTTTTTTTAGCAAACAGGAATTTTTTTCCTCCCAGACCAGCATTTACATCCTTCTTCATCATATTAACTCTGGGAAAAGTTGCAGTTGAAACATGTCAGCTGCCTTTCACATCCTCCGAGGAATGTTGGCAAGTCTTCACAACGCTGTCAGTCATTAAGCCAGATAAGAGTCCGCTCAGAGATTGATGGCGTTGCATTCCACTAGTTCCTTCTCTGTTTTTTTCCCATACAAAAGCATCTGTGCTATCTCACCAGTTCATATCCTCTCTGTCCAAGTCCAGACCTGCTCAAGTGTTTTTATCATAAGTCCTGATCCACTTATCAAACCCACTGTAGCAGCAGGCTCTGACTTCGTTCACTCAATTGTGCCTGATGTGTGTAAATGACACAATGTTTGTTTAGTTGTAAAGATAATTTTAAAAGACTGGGCATTAACTCGTCATATCTGATATTTTATACACTAAAGCAAGTTCCTTTACAGGACAACCTACTCGTTCAAACATATTATTATTAAACCTTTATTTTACCAGGAAGAAATCCATTGAGATTATTAATCTCTTTTACAAGGATGTCCTGGACAATATGCAAATACACCAACACGGTCTTAAGAACAGTAACAGTATTAAAATATTTACAACGAAACATCCGTTAATAAAACATAAAATACAATGCAAGTTGATCACAATTTAAAAAACTTATATATTACAGGTGCAAGATGTGACTAAAACCTCAAGCAGTTTTTGTTTAAAACTTGTTAAAATAATAAGAGTCCAACCTCAGCTTAAGCTGCAGATCATTCCAAGACCACGGGCCGAAATAGGTCAAATTCATCTTTGCTGACTCTGTGTGCACAAAGAGTACCTTAAACCACAGCCAGCTACTGGCCCTGAGACTGTGTGTTGTGAAATGAACTGGGAGTTGATATATGATGGTAATTTTCCTAAAATGGCTTTGTATATGAAAATATACCAATGTGTCATCCTTCGAATACTGAGTGAAGTAAGTCCAGCAAGGGTACACAGTACAATGGTGAGTCCTAAAGGGTTATATACCTCAGAGCAGCATGGTAAATGGGGTCCAGTAAGGTAGTGGGGGAGGCAAATCTATAGAATGTGTCTCCTTAGTCCAGCTGTGATAAAAACAAACTTGTTACAAGCTGCTTAAGAGAAGAAATAGAAAAACACGATTTCAGTCTATACAAAATGAGTTAATTTGAGCTTTTCAAGGTTCAAGGATTCAAGGTTCTTTATTTGTCATTCCACCACATGTGGTACATGTGGTGCAACAAAATTGTGTACACAGGGTCCCAGTTACATCCAACAAAAGTATTAAAATGCAAAAGAAAAACAGTAAGATCTAAGGTATGAACTAAAAAAACATTAATAAAAAGTACACTAATCACTAGTAGTATAAAAACAATACACTGAGCAGCCAAACTTTTTTATTAGATATATAATGTGATGTTTAAAATTAAGATCTTTATCCAGTCAAATACCAGGGTGGGAGTGGTAGCGTAGAGGTTAGAGAAGGTGGGCATGTGATCAGAAGATCGTTGGTTCATCTGCCAGTACCGACAACATCAATATGTGGTTGGGATTGGTGAAGCACCCACACCTGTCTCCATTTGCCCCACTCTGGGCCCTTGAGCAAGGCCCTTAACCTCCATCATCTGCTCCCCTGGGTGCCCTAGATAGCAGCTCTCTGCTCCACACAGAGGGCTGTGATAGCTCAGTGGTCTGTGGTTGTGTCAGGAAGGACATCTGGCATAAAAATAATTGCCAAGTCTTTGTGTGACTCATTTCACTGTGGTGACCCCTGAGAAAGGGAGAAGCTGAAAGAATAAAGAAAAATCCAGCCAAATACCAAGATATTTTTTATTATATATATTTGTTTTCTACAAGTTCTATCATATCACCATTCAGTGTTTTAATAGAAGGAACGGTTATCACAGAATTATGGAAAAACAACAGTTGGTTTTGCTAACAATCAGAACTAATTTTGAATCATGGAGAGCATTCTGTAAGGTGTTGAAATCAGTCTGAAGATTTGAGTGTACTGTATCTAGAGAGGACACTGACAAGAATAGAACTGTATCATCTGCATACATATGGCAAGAGGAGAATTTAAGCTGATCACAGATTTGATTGATATAGAGTAAAAAGAGCAAGGGCTCTAAAATAGACCCTTGTGGGACCCCCTTGTTCAGTGTGACCGCACCTGACAAAACAGAGCCAAATCGAACAAACTGAATGTGTTTAGTTAAGTAGCTGTTAAACCAGGCAACCATGTTTGTATTTAAGCCAAGTTTTTGTATGATGTTGATTAGGTAACAGTGTCAAACGCCTTAGTTAGATCAATAAACAACGCTAAACAAGCATGTTTACTTTCAAGTGCTATTGAAACATATATTTAGATGTTTAAAATCAAAAAGGTTAACATTCTTGAGATATTTTTGATAACGGACACACGTGTGCAACCCAAAATAAGAAATAAGCTGAAATAAACCAGAAAAGTTTTTAAGGACTACTATTTGTGTATATTACTTTTCAAGACCAACACCAATCAGATATTTTTATGACATTTAGTGTTCGATGGGTGTACCGTTTGAAACTTTTCAAGGATCCACAGGTTCTACTGCTCATAAAATCCTCCAGTGAATCCATGATGCTCCGGATCCTTGCTTATTGACATAACCTGCAGTTCTTGCTGTTCTACAGAATCTGGAAAGCTTAAACTGGGGCTAAATGTTATTTAACTGATAACACTGTAACATCCACGACCCTCATCATTCTCTTTGTGCTTTGAAGCCTCGTTGTGAGGGCCGCTCAGCCGCTTTCAACCAGTTCTAGTCAATATCTGTGGATCTGTTGTTCTGTGTGGAGCAGAGATCTATTCTTCCCTCATCATATCCAGTGGCATGTCAGATAACAGCTCATCAGCACCTTTGGGTGGGGGCTGAACGAAGGCAATAAAGGGATTCAGGAATGCAACGTGTTAGCGAAGGTGGCTTGGTATTTTCAAAATGGCATTAACGACTTATCTTCGAAAACCCGGCCTTTTGTCACGTATAGGGTTACGTGTCCCTCCGAGAATGTGATCTATGTGAAGCATGCTCTCTGTGGCAAGAAGAGAACAAGAGAGCAGGCCACCCGAGAAAGTTGAACCTGAAAGAATGCAGCTCTGGTATTTATTAATGAAGAGAGCTCATTTCTGTGCTGGAACAAGAGGGCAGGAATGAGCGGATGGGATGACAACACAGAAAGGGTGGAAAAGAAAAAATAAACCTCGCACTAGTTCGTCTGTTTACACCGTGTAGTAAAAAGCAATAACTCACCAGTCCATAAACATATATTAAACCAGTTTTATTACTTTATGAAATGTTGCATGAATTGGCCTGTGAAAACGTTCACATCGTCAAGTTCACAGAAATGTTTGTTTGAAGACGACACATTTATTAGTTGTGTACAGTTTGACACGATTGTCAGCACATAACTTACAAATAACATTCACAAACTCTTTGGCGTTGTCCTGAAAGCACTGCTGTATCTAAAAATAATATCTGTATAAAATATATAATAACAATAATTAACCTGTTTGTTAGTTTGAAGCTCACAGTAAACACAAAAGAACGGACAGAACACCTCATTGCCCCTCAGTGGTAACCAAACCAGCAGGATCACCACATCAGGACACACACACACGATATCACGCATGCAAACATCCTTGGAGAGGAAAAACACAACCAACAACACCACAAAGCTACATCCCAAAAGTACAAACTTACAAAATTAAGTAAAATCATATATTAAGCAGCTCGCTGTTCACATACGTCAAAAACCTGAGCAGAACCAGCTCCTCAGGCTGAAGAAATATGACCAGGGAGAGCTTTAAATCTTGTGTTTTCAGCTTAAATTATTAAAACAAAGTCAGGGAAGTTTTCCAAAGAGATCTCATCTGTATTGGGAATGAAATTATTCAAGATTAAATCCACTTTTTGTTTAAAAAAAAAAAAAAGAAGAAGGGAATGCAGGTCACATAGCTAACCCTCAACTGAATATTTATGTAGACAAGGCTGACGTTAATATTTAGGGAATGTGGAAACCACATTAGATTCAGCTTTTTAACTGGGAAAGAAATAAAGGGGGTAATAAAGAAAGGGAAGCAGCATTTTTTATATATAAATCGATTTATATAAATATTTTTTTGGCATATACTCTGAGAATATGTATTAGAATCCACAATACTGTCCAACAAGTACCTCAGAAGATTCATGTTTCTCACTGTGCCAGGCAGAACCGCCTGCAGCTGCCCAGCTCAGTGAGAAGAAAGTAGGTCAGAGCACAGCTCACAGTCTCTTTTTTTAAGCAACTCTTTCTTTTTTAACATTCTTGGATCCAGTAATTTGTCTGTATTCTTGCAGTCTTCACAGATAGTCCAGATTTTGTCTGCTTGCCTCATCCCGGTCCTTTAAATAAAGATTTCCACCGCCTCCGGCTCCACGTCATCCAGTCCCCTGAATGGATTCACCAGCATCTTTTTAGTTGCTGAATTATCTGAAAATTAAAACAAAGAAGAAGAAACAGTTATTTTTTGGGGACATTTCAAGGGAGTGAGCTCAAAGTGCAAGTGGCCAACAGTTTATGACATTTTCCACTGACACACAGAACGCTCCGGTGAATGTGCTCAGTCGACAGAATCACGTTACTTCCTAACGAAGCACATTCCACAGGGCGAACTTTATAAACCATGAGCTGGACTGAGTCACTATGACCAGCTGATTGATGGTGAATCTGTGTGAGGATCCATGCACACATTTTGTAAAATGTTTGTGCACGTTTGTTAACTCTCTGTGCTCAGCGTGTGGAAATTTGTCATTTTTAAATAGGGTACAAACTCACCGTCGTTAAGCTTAGCTGTGCTGGCGATCTCTTTGGATTTGATTCCTTCCAGCTGTCGTTCTAGTGTCGACGGCTCCGACTGAGCAGAGAACTGACAGACTGGCAAAGTTTGATCGTCTGACAGATTTTTATCTGAAAAAAAAAAAATCACCACAGATTATGTCAATAACTGGTTGTTGGGTGTTGTGGATATTTCAGAACATACGCACACATTTATGAAACGTAAAGAAACGCAGTGCTGCTAACCTCGACTCATAGCGCTGAAGGTGCAAATGGAGGGAGTGGAGGAGGCCGGGCGGAGGGGAGCTCCTGTGTTAATGAGGTTTGTTCGGAGACTCCTCTCATCCTTTGGATTTTGATCGTGGTGCAGCCTCTGGTTGAGGATCTTGATCACAGCATCTTTTTCCAAAATTTGAGCATACAGAGCGCGGATCCTTGTGTGGAGAGGAAGAATAAAACGTGTCAGAAAAATCAACAATCGAACATCCGAGTTTTATTCTGTTGCAGTCAAAAAGAAAAATAAGCACCTATTCTCCATCTCCTGGTTCCTGTAGTCAGCGACGGGCAGGTCCTCGTTGAAGCTGTTGCTGGAGGAGTGGCAGGGCGAGTGGTTAATGATGGTAGTGTCTCTGCAAGAGAAACATATATATATTTTTTTAATCATACAAACTGGAATGTATGTGCGGTCAAAACACCCCGGTAAATGTGAAGATGAACGGTACCTCTGAGCAGCAGCGGTGGCAGCCACCTCCATGGCAAACTGCCTCATGGTACTTTCTTCCAGGTACTTCTGCTCCCAGCGCACCATGTCGGTTTCCAGGGCCAGGATTCGCTCCTCGCGCTCTCGCAGCCGCTCCTGGAGCGAGTTCATGGTCAGTCCTGGAGGCTGGGACTGCCTCTGATGTAAATAAAGGAAATATTTAGCGGTAACTCACTGTTACATTACATAAGAACATCAATTCAAAGCTGCCTTGGGTTGGGAGCGTTACCTGCTGTGCCCTCAGACTCTTCAGCTCCTGCTCTAGCCTCGTCCTCAGCTTCATCTCCAGGCTCTCCCTCTTCTCGCAGGTGGACTGCAGCTGAGCCAGCGCGCTCTGAAGCCTCTCCACCTTCTCCACATAGGCCCTCTTCCTCCTCAGCTCCTCTTCGAGCTGGCGGCCTCGTCCCCGAGCTGCCTCCAGGGCCTCCTCGAGCCGCTTCGCTCTGACACCCTGCTCTTCTGCGGCCACTCGCAAACGCTGCAGCTCCCGCTCGACGCGCTCGCGCTCGTAGTTCTGCTCCTCATCTGAAGGAAAATAAAAGCACAAGCGGGTCAGGGTAAGTACATGTTGCGTGTGGTTCAGCACTGTGTAACTGGTCGCTTGAAACAGCTTCAATCCGTTTCTAAAACATGTAATAAGACGTAGAGTTGCTTGGCGGCCTGTGTTTTTCATTTAGCAAAGCACTCCTGGAATGCTGAGGACGAACACGAAGGAAGGGGGAAACGCTGCCCCCATCCCTTTGATCCGCAAAGCTCGGAGCATTCCTCATCAAGGCCATACAAACACCAGCTCTCTGCTTGAGTCCAGTTCCTCAAACAGACACCGTAAATCACGCTCACAACAGGTGGTGGGGGGGAACCTCCTAGCATTTTTCATCGCACCATTTCCTTTTGCAGAGTTGCGTGGATTGAATTTGCTGTTATTAAGCTTTCTTGGTGTGAAAGCTGAGGTTATGCAAGTGAAATTCCTGCATGTGAAAATACTCTTGGATCCAAAACAGGGCCCCATGCTATGCTGCGACTGTGCCTATTGAAGAGGAGAACTGCCCGACAAAGGGACGTACTCACTTTGTTCAAGGAGTTTCGCCATGATGTGCTGGTTGTGGTCGGCTGCCTTTACTTCTTTTGCAACGTGGGTTCTGGCGTTGTCCAGGTTTTCTGTAACGCAGGAAACATTTTTTTTTAATGAGTTTTAAAAGTGAACTAGAAATCAGTTGGATCTGGGATGACTGCATTCTGCCTCTGTCTTGCTGCTGGGATGGTTTTTTACCTCTGAGGTCTCTGTTGAAATCCTGCAGCCGCCTGAGTTCAGCCACCAACCGCCTCCTCAGCGTCTGCTCCAGGTTTTCTCTCTTACTGCTGCCCTGCATCAGTGTCTCATAGGCCTCTGAAATACGCTGGATCTCCTGCTCCAGCTGAAAGCGAAGGAGGTCGGGGAAGGTTGGAAAAGAGGAGAAAATAAAAGAACTTGAGGTTAGCCCACTTCACAAGCCAAAAAAAAGGAGCTGGAATGTTAATTCATGTTTTTACTGTGTGCTTATAAAAGCTGTAAGCGGTATTGCTCAAGTAACTTGGTGTAAGAGTTTGGCTTAACTAGTGTAGAATAGGAGCAGCTCTCCAGGAATTAATATAAGCTAGTGTGTCATTTTTTTCTGAAGTCTACACAAGTGTGTGAATGTGTGTGCGGTTTATTTCTGAGAAGGAAATTAAGCCGGCACCACTCCCTGTGAGCCTGATTTATATCTGCATTCCTGAGCCACATTTCCAGGTGTGTGTGTGTGTGTGTGTGTGTGTGTGTGTGTACAACACACTGCAAGTAAATGCTCATAAACAAAGACTGTCTCTTTCTTTATCACACACACACACACACACATAAAAAAAAAAAGGATTGGGAAGGACGCCAGCGGAGGGAAGGTGTACATGCCTGAGCCTGGGTTGTGGAAACAGCAAAAAGACACCCACCATTACAGCAGTCACTCAGGCATGTTTACTCAGGGCCGCGGCCCGACGGGGAAAAACTTTCCAACCCCGGCAATTATCATTCTTTTGGGCTGAGACATGGCGAGAGCCATGTGACATAAGTACAGCGGAGAGCGGAGTTGATTTTACAAAAACTGGTTGAGGTGTCAAGTGTCGCTGAGGCGGTTTCCACCGCGCTGAACAAGGATAGCTGGGAAGTGTGGGTTTGATCGTAAAAGGGCAGGAAGAGAGTTTGAAGTGAAAGCATGGGAAGAATTGCAGGCTTCTAAAAAAATAACCTTTTACTTGTCTTAACCGAATCCTACTAATTGCTTTAGATTCCTCCCAAACTGCATTTTAACTGTCTCGAGGTCAAACGTGCTGTAAGACAAGGCCCAGATTACTCTGACAATCTATCCTCCCTGGAACTAAGCACACATCGGGCTCCACTATGTCAGCTACACAATGAAGGGAGTGTGTAAACACAGTAGCAGGCGGTGACCTCTTGTTTGTGGCCCGCTGATCTCATATGTTTGTTCAAATGAAGGGGTGTGTCTGCAGTTGGATATCAGGGAGGCAACTGTCGAGTGGCGTTGTGTTTCATAGGCAGCTGGTTAAGTGGAGGAATGTCGCCTGGACGTTCACCAGGCATTCTACTTTAAACTGGGAGGTTTATTTACCTTTGTTTTTTCATTGCCTGTTCGTTTGGTGTTCACAGAAACGGATGTGGCAACATTGGGAACTCTTTAAATCGTAAAGTTTAACCAAAGGTTTTAATTCCTTCGTTGTGACCTGTCAACGTTGTCAGCTTCTCACCTTCTGAATGCGGCCAGTCTTCTCCCTGTGCATGTCCAGCTCCTGCCTCAGTCTCTCATTTTCCATCATTAGCAGCTCCACCTGGTTGGGTTCCTCCAGGCCAGCAGGGGGCAGGCTGTTAAATGTGTTGTAGCTGGGGGCTTCTGCTGCCTGAGCAGACTGAACATACCTATGAGGGAGACATTGTTTTTGTAAGTAACAACCACTTGAAGTGCACAGGTAGTGATGATTCTACAGATCTAATATATGAATATAGATTACCATCTATTATAAACTCCAGCAGTTGTTGACAATATAAAAGCCAATGATGTGCCTCATACTATGAATATTCTGATGCTGAATGCCAAATATTACAAACATTTACAGGGCTGGACATGTTCCTCTGTAAGTATTTTGAAATATGATGTTGCTGCAGCGTGACTCACAACCATAAGTATGTGTTTACGCATGAGAAATACAAAGGCGAGGATTGGGCGGGCTCAAAAAATAATACCAAAGAATATGATGTCATGCTAAAGCGGTGTAGAAAAACACGAAAGCTTAAACACAGGTAGGGTGATGCAAACCAAGTCTTTACCTGTGCTGCTGAGGCTGCACTGGCTCCTGGATAAATGCCGGACCCTGGATGGGGGCGGTGTACTCCGGCGGCGGGTTGCGTTTGTCCATGCTTTGCCCTGTGCTCTGAATGTACTGTGGTGTGTAGTAGGGAAGCTCCGGGTAGCTGTGGTAGTTGGCCTTGATGGCCTCGGCTTTAGCCGCAGCATCCCTCCTCTCCAGAGAAATCTGCATGAGGTGCTCACTGAGTGAGCGCACGTGGCCGCACTTCTGCTGCAGCAGATCTGCTCCCTGATGGAAGGTCCCATCGTGGAGCAGAAGCTGTCCCTGAGCCCAGTTGGAGGACAGGTACTGAGAGTGCACCTTGGCCTGCTCATAGGTCGGCAGCATCTCTCCGTGCAGCTGGTAGCTGCTTTCCGAGTGATGGTAGTCTCCCTGGTGCTCTTGGCCTTGAGGCTCCTGCCTCGCGGAGAGCTGAGGGAGCGCTGGGTCCTCCTGGGTCAGGCTTTCCAGTGAGGACTGTGGGCTCCTGCTCATTTCACTGGGTCCACTGTTGCTTCCGCTGCTGCCTCCACGCAGGGCCTGCTGCTGGATGGCCAACAAGGTGCGGGTGTCTGTGGGGTTTCCATAGCGGAGCTGCTCCTGGATGAGCCGGTGCAGGACCGTGCCGGACGGCTCCTCAGTGGACGACATTATTATACAGCGTGAACAAAGTTCTCTCTCCGAGTATCAACTAAGTTGCTTCTTCTTTTCAATGTGGAAAAATGTTTATCTAATGTGAACCTGGAACATAAAAGTACAGACAAATCAGAAGAAGGCAACAGATTCATGTTAATAATGAAGCCGCCTATTTTACTGTGCTTCATTTGATATTAAAAGAAAAGAAAAGACCATTTTACACAGGAACAATGAGAAATGTGTAGAAACAATGCAGAAGTGAGTTTACTCAACAGCGACAACGATGCGATGTGGACACTTTTAACAACGCAGGCAAAACTGAAAAAAGTCGCTCACGGTGAAGCAAAAGCGCAAAAAAAAAAACTTTACTTTCATAACTCGACACTAAAAATAGTTTAAATAGCGCCCCAACACACTCCAGTCTCAGAAGTTTTACCTTCATGTTACAAGAGACTTATCCAGGTTTTATCTGAAGCGGTAAAGATCGCACGAGCGCCTCTTACCAGCTCACGCGCTCTTCATGTCGCCTCAGTGTGGACGTGAAATTCCGTATTTCCAGTATTCCCCTTGAGTTTTGTGGAGTCAAACGTGTCTCATGCTGTCTCTGTCCCCCAGGACGGGCTGCCTCGCTCCTCTTGTCGCTGTGAAATGATTGTGGAGGCAGAGCAGGCGGCGGTAATAAGTAACTGAGGAGGGACTGAGGTCGGAATGTCAGGAATGTGAAGCGCGAGGTCCCCTCGGGGATCAGGAGCGTAAAAAACACGCAGGAGGAGGAATGAAAACGCAGCACAGCAAAGAGGGGGGAAAAAAGTTTCACATAGCTTTAAGAAATTTATCAAAGGGAAATAGACTTTTTGATTATTATAAAGCAAACCCCCCCCCCCCGCCCCCCTTCCCTTAAATCAGACAATCAGTTTTCTATATACAGTATTGTGCTTGGAAGATTGAAGCGAAACAGCATGTGAATAAAAATGTTGCTTTTGAAAAAGACACACATTCAAAATTCAAATACAGAAATATGAATAAGTTCCAAACATAAACTGTTAAAGACCTTGATATGCAGTGTGATCAAAGATAACCTCTAATGACATTATTAGTGGAGTGGTGGCACAGAGGTTAGAGGAGATAATAATAATAATATGTCATAACAATGTCATCACTGTGTGTTTCCATACAATGAGACTAATTTTGCAAATTAGTCTCTGCATTTAACACATCCATTGGGCATTTTGGGGATGAGGTGTGCTGCCCAGAGACACCACGAGGTGTGCAGTGACCAGGGATTGAAACTGGGACTTTTGAGTCCCGGGCCGGCTGCCATCTCGGCCCCCAGATGGACCTGTGACCGGAAAATCGCAGGTTCAACTCCCGGTACCGTCAACATCAAAATGTGGGTGGAAAAGGTGAAACACCCACACTTGACTCCACCCTCATTTGCCCCACTGTGTACCCCTGAGCAAGGCCCTTAACCCCCACCATTTGCTCTCAAAAAACAGGTTTCTCTTGAAACTTAGTTCTCGTGACTCAATAGCTATGTTTACATGCGCAAAATTCTTTGATCGGATTGAAATGTTTTCAGATTAAATAATTCAAATGTATTGTTTACATGGGCACAATCTGTTCATGATGAGCGTTTACATGCAGCGGGCTTTGTTCTGAACAGAAGTACTGACATGCACAAAGTGGCAATCTTTCCTTAAAAAAAATACACAGAAGATGTTCTACTTCCGGTTTACTTCCAGGATGAGCGTAAACAAACCTGAGCACCTAAAATGGACCCGCGACAGGTTTTAATGACGCTGGAGACGTTGCTGCACTCCCTGACTGAGCTACAGGTAATACAGATCATTTTGAGCTCTTTCAAAGTTTCTGGTAGAAATATTGTGTCGCTCACCGACCAGTTTTGCTTCCCTGACATGCTAATAGTATTAGCATTACCCAGGCGGAAAATGACAAAGTCGCACATGCGCAGTCAGGTCAGTTTTTCACGATCAGATAAAAACGAACAGATCAAGCGTTTACATGCGCACCGTTCGGGTTATGAATCGGTGTAAACCACCCGTTTCATTCTGATCACAAATTATTTCGGATCACGCTGAATAAACAAAAAATAACCCGAACTGGGTGTTTACATGACGCGTTTTTATTCCAAACGGCCATTTGATCCGGTTACTTATGTCTATGTAAACACAGCTAACGAGACTACCTGTATAAATAAAGTAAATGAAATAAATAAAAAAGTGTCTGTATTTTATTTTGATTAAAATTCTTGCTCTAAATAATATAAAAATACTCACTTGAGGGTATCAATGTTTAAACTGACCTTTGCTAATTCACATACTCTATCACGATGCACTGTGATCTTGCCTGAACCGGTTTGTTGAAATAAAATGTTTATATCTATGTTTCAGCTGCTCTGCAGTCATTCTGCCACCAGACAATCCCTGTGCAAACTACCATTAAAATGTAAATATAAATACAGCTGTCCCTCTCTACTTCATGTTTCGGCTTTCGCGGACTCGCTCTCTTGTGGGTTTTTCAATGATTGTCAACTTTAATATTGCTCATGTGATTGGGACGTACAAGATTAAAAAAAGTTAATGAAAAAAATACTTTGGACAGGCACCGCCATTTTGTAGTTTTCTTTCAGTAAGCCTTCTGTCAAAAGAACTGCATGACCCAGAAACCAACAGTGCACTACCCAGAAGCCAACAGTACTTCCGACCGCTGCTTTCTGCTGAAATGGAGGGAAAGTTTTGCAACACAAATCTACGCTATCTATTAATCTCACAGAACTGGCAGGAAAGTCTCAAATAATCCTGGAGCTTCCTGAAGCTCAATAAAGTAAAAATTACATAGGTTAAAGAGTTTAGAACATTGTAAGAGTGTTGGAAGGGTTTATAAAGCCTTAATATATATAAATACATATAAATACTAAAATAAATATAACATTCCTACTTTGTGGTTTTTCACCTATCACGGGGGTGTTTGGAACGTAACCCCTGCGATAATTGAGGGAGTACTCTACATTTGTGTATAAAAGCCATTTAAAAGCAGGTGTAAAGGACCAAAACAGTAGAGTTGAATGTCATCTGAAAACAGCTACATATGACCACTTGGTCGGTGTCCGATTTTACATGTGCACAATAGTAACTGTAAAAAGGTTCATATGTGTTGTTCCTAGGAATACACACCAAACACATCTAGGTTCAAACCCAACCAGCACTGGGTCAAATTTGGACTGAGCCAACCCTGGATTGTTTTACATCAGCAGGGTTTGAGTTTGACCAAGCAAACTGGGTTAAGTTTTCTGCTCATTGAGGTGTTAAAATTAATATGCTGTTGACCTGATGCATGCTCAATAGAAAAACGCAACAAGGTTAAGTCACGTCCTCTGGATAGATTCTTCTTTGTTGAAACATTTCGTCTTTTATCCAAAAGATGTCTTCAGTCTGAAACACTGCAGCGAACTCAGTTTTTTTAAACAGCACCTTTTCATAACATTTTCACATTTTGGACCGAGAAGACAGATGGTTTGAGAGGGGGATGAAGGAAGCCATTTATGTACAATGAGAGAAACCATCCTTAAACAGAGGAGGAGGTCTCACATTTCAACTTTCAAAAACTTTTAATGCTGCTTTAGGCATGATACCCAGCCAGTGTCACACCTATCGGGAATTTCATCCATGTGACCAGAGTGGCCCATCTGTGAGTCAGACTAACAAAGACCCTAACGAACCTCTATTGTGAGGAGTGATATGGCGATCTGCATATGTTTCAGGATGCTCTTCACTGCACATGTGTAGAAGGAGGTGAGGACTGAGCTTCATAGTTGCCAAGTCCGCTTATTATTAGTGACTTTGGGCTTGGGTTTTTTTTCAAGTCGCTTGCAAATCTTGTGAGTCACGGGTTGCGGTTTTTTGGGCTTGTTTATAACGTGAAGTTGCTTATTTGGGCTTGAATTTCTTTCTGAGTGCAACTAGTTGACTATGTCCCAGCTCCGCACAATAAAGCAAAAGACGAGTGGTAATAGGTAGTTTGTCCCTTCCAAGCCCCGGTTTCCTGTTTATCACTTTCGTCCAAGTTGGCAAGGCAACACTTAGACATAAACAAACATGTCTGTGGGCGCACACCCTAAAAACTCATACTATGGCCGACCATTAGGGGCCTCCACTAATGCAAATGTCAGGATGTTTTGTTTTTAAAAATATGTAGAATAAATTACATAAACAAAATGTTTTTTTTTTTATTTATCAGAGCTTAAATGTATGTTATTCAAAGTGTTTTGCATAATTTTGCTGTTGTTTATGTGTAATGCCATAATAAATGTATGTTTATACTGTTTCAAAACGGCCTCTGTTTTACAAAATGTGGTGGGTTGCCAGTTGGGCTTGTTTTGGGCTTGTTTTCATAGAACTGGTTGCTTGTTTCTATCGCGAGATCTGGCAACACTGTGGAGCTTCCCAGTCCAGCTTGCCTCAGCCGCCTGAGGAAGTGGAGTCTCTGATGAGCTTTTTTACCATACCATACCATACCATACTATACCATACCATACCATACCATACCATACCATACCATACCATACCATACCATACCATACCATACCAATTTATTTATAGAGCACTTAAAACAGCAACAAGGCCAACCAAAGTGCTGTACAAAAGAAAACAAACATGCACAGTGGACAGGAAAACATAAAATAGAAATACAGATACAAATAGCAGCAGAAGCTAACTAAAATGGCCAACAGAGTAGAGAACAGACCGGACCAAAACAAATCACACCGTGTTAAAGGCAAGCGAATAGAAGTGGGTCTTCAAGCGAGACTTAAAGACTGAGAGTGTGGGAGCCTGCCGGACACTCAGTGGCAACTCATTCCACAGTCGTGGACCTGCAACAGAGAAAGCCCTGTCACCTCTGAGCTTACGACGGGTTTCTGGGACTGAGAGAAGCATCTGGTCTGCTGACCTCAGAGAGCGCGGTGGGACATATGGCTGCAGAAGATCAGTGAGATAGGATGGGTCGGAACTGTTCAGTGATTTAAAAACATACATGAGAATTTTGAATTGGATCCCAAGGTGAATGGGTAGCCAGTGCAGGGAGGCCAAAACTGGCGTGATGTGCTCTCTATAACCTGTACCAGTTAAAAATCGGGCTGCAGCTTTTTGGACCAGTTGTAGACGAGCAATGGAGGACTGACTGATTCCAAACAGAAGTGAATTGCAGTAATCAAGCCTAGATGTTATGAAGGCGTGGATCACTGTCTCAAGATTCTTTTTGGAGAGTATAGGCTTCAGCTTAGACAGCCGTCTCAGCTGAAAAAACAGGATTTGACCATCATGTTTGCGTGACTGTTGAGTTTTAAGGACGGGTCCATTATCACCCCCAGATTAGTGACCTTTTGTTTCTCTAGCGGGGCTAGAGAGAAAAGGTCAATGTCATGGTTCATGAGTGAGCCACTGGGATGGAACAGCATGACTTCAGACTTCTTCTCATTGAATCTTAAGAAGTTTAAAGCCATCCAGTCCCGGATGTCAGCCAGGCAGTCAAGAAGAGGCTGAATAGAGCGTGTGCCTCTGTGCCTCAGGGGGAAGTAAATTTGGCAATCATCGGTGTAGAAATGAAAGGGTATGTTGTGTTTGCGGAAGATAGCACCTAGTGGCAGCAGGTATAAAGAAAAGAGAAGGGGACCGAGGATGGACCCCTGTGGTACCC